TTTGTTGATACTTAATAAATTTTCTTTCAAATATGCAGTCAAGTTAATGGAAGGGTTTTGATATTTCTCCAAAATTAAAATCAGACATAACTTTCTAGCTAGTGACCTCCTCCATTAGATTATTTGATTTTAATTAATAAAAATGTAATACCCCAAAATTTTGTGTTATTTTAGCATTTAAGTAAGGGTTTTTGTGTGAGAAAAATATTGTTTTGGGCTTACTAGCCGAAATGTCCAAAGTTGAGGGATTTAAAGAGGGAAAATAATTGGATAAGGATCAGTTTCTTTTCTTTTTCTTTTTCCTTCTTTTCTTCCCCAGCCATTTCCCGATTCTGCTCTTCTTCTTCCCGCTGCAGCCGAACAAAGCCCCCAACCTGCCGGCGACTTCCTCCCTTGAAAAACCGGTAAAGCTTGATGATTTTCCCTTATTTTCTCGTCCAAGAACCTGATTTAGAACCCAGAAATCTTCCCCCCTGCTAGAAAAGCCGGATCTGCTCTGCTCTGCTCTTCTGCCCTTGTCCGCCGGCTGCTCTTGTTGTGGGTGCAAATTCTGGGCATTTTTCGGTAAGAACAGCCATTAAATTCCTTTGTTCTTGCTTGAATTGGCTTGGGTTTATGTTAATTGCTCTTGGTTCCTTCAATTTTTGGGTAGAACCCGTGAGCTTCTTCTCCAAATTGCCGCCGGCTTCTCTTCCCCCTACAGCTCCAGTTTTAGCTGGAAAATTCTGGTATGTGGCAGCCTTAAACCATTGTTTTTAAGCTTGATTAAGGTAGAATTAGCTTGATTAGTTTGCTGCCGTGTGATGTCCAAATTTTGGTAGAAAAATGGGGGAAATTCCGGTAGCCTTTGAGCATGTTTTAAGCTTGGTTTAAGTGTAAATTAGCTTGAATAGTTGCTGTGATTTTTGGAGAGAAAACCCCGTGAGATTAGCTAGTGTGTTGGCCAATTTTTGGAAGTGCAGTTACTGTTCACGTCGGGGGTACTGTTCACAGGTTACTGTTCATACCCCGAGGGCCAACATTTAACGGGAATTTAAATGATTAGTTTGTGATATAAGAACGAATTTGGAGATATTTGATCACGTGGAGAGTGATAGAAATAGCATTGTGATTAGGAATGATCCTAATGATGATTTCAGCTTGAATTTGTGATAGTGGTATTAATTCTTGGAATATTTTGATTAGGTTCCTGATCGTTCTGTCAGTTAGCATTGAGATTGAGTGCTCGGTTTTATGCAAGTGAGGTAAGTAAATTTATGGTAATGCCCGTACTGTTTTTATAAGCATGTTTTGATTTGTTTTTGAAGTGGTGGCGAGACTAAACCCGTTTTACACGAGTATAACTGATTTGAAATGATATTTTTATGCTTTTCATGAA